CACGCCCCACATTTTTCATGTTTTTCAGGGCGCAGGGTCGGGGACGAGGAGTGAGCGGGCGGGCTGTTCAGGACATTTGTGTTTATATGTATATATGTTTTTGCCACACTTGAATTCCGCTAAAACTTTCAGTACTTATTATCAGTTTTTGTTCCGACGTTAGTCGGATAAGACATTATAACCGTTTTTAATTAATAGTTTAAAATTTTAACGGTTTTCAGAAAAATTAAGTATTTCACGGTAGCATCCCGAATCAGTTTTCGCAAAATAAATATTTTATTTATTTATTCAGAAAATTGCGAAAAATTGCGTACTCTGATAAGTATAAAAAGTCGGGGTGTTACATCGATGTAGCGTCTACCATGTAATCGATGTGTGGGATTGGATAGCTATCTTTCGGGCATGCTTGGTTCAAATCCAAGAAATCAATGCATAGACGGCAAAGACCAGTAGTTTTCTTAACCAAGACAGGATTTGATATCCACGTCGGATATTTGGCTTCTTTAACAAACTTGTTATCTACGAGCTTGTTCACTTCCTCTTCAAGAGCTTTCTGACGATTTGGGCCGAATTTTCGGCGTTTCTGTATAACAGGGTTGACGGTCTTATCTAAATTGAGCCGGTGACATGCTTTCTGCGGATCTATTCCCTTCATGTCTTCATGCTTCCAGGCAAATACGTCAGAATTTAACCGAAGAAATTGAATTAAGCGGGAACGTGTGGGTTCTTGAAGACTAGCTCCAATGCGCAATGATTTTTGCTGAGTCAGTTCATCCACGTGAATAATTTCAACATCTTTAGCTGGTTCCGCCCGAACGTGATGACTTTTATCTTTGAATTGCATCCGTGGATCTACGTCTTCGTATATTCTCTTGTCCTCCTCTTGAAGGAGTTGACCCTGGTCAAGGGCCCCATTCAAGCTTCCTGGCAAATCCGACATCACAGGGACATCGACATCAAATGTAAGGGAGATATCGGTATCTGAAGCAGATTGATCTGTCCCATTGGCATCAGAGAGGATTGAGTCTTTCAACATAACAGAGCTATCAGTCTCCTACACTCCGCATACATGAAGGTTACGTGAAGTTGAGAGCAACGTCAGACTTCGTGCCTCCCGTTGATCTCCATAGTGAGTGCCTTCTCCTTCAATGGTGGGAAATTTCAAGGCATAATGAAAAATTGACACAGCAGCGCGGAGTTTGTAAAGGGCAGTTCGTCCTACAATAGCATTGTACTCATTTTGGACATCCAAGACTTTGAAAGTCTCCATAATGATCTTTGATTTTGGTCCAAATCCACCAAATCGAATGGGAAGTAATATTTCACCGATGGGGCAAAAAATGCTTCCATTGAAGCCTTGAATTTGATCGTTGCAAGGTCTGATGTCAGCGGGATCCAAACCCAATTTCTTGAAAGTGCGGAACATTAAAATACTTGAATACGCTCCTGTATCAACCATAATTCGGTGAACAGGGATTCCTTCGATCGGAGCAGTAATAATAAGGGCATCTGAGTGAGGATGAGCAAACAGATTGGCATCTTCGATACTGAACATGATGGGACAATTTCGCTTATTAATAGTATCCCGGAGATCAACGTTCATAACTTGTTTCTCGGCATTTTGTGCTTCCCTGACATAAGCTTTAGCTTTTCGCCGAGAAGTGTCCAGCTGTTTGGTATTAGAATTGACTCGAGGTACGCAGTGAGAAGAGTTTGATGCGTCATGTGTTTTCGGATTTTTGGAGTTATCGGTCGAAGTACCGACAAGAGTATAAAACGTAAAAACTTCCTTATCGTTCGCGCGTGCTCTTTTCGGGTTAACGGATCGATTATCATCATCTTCTTCATCTGAAAGATCTACAGGCCTTCCTTTCCGGCGATTATCAAAATTCCTGAATTTTTGAAGTTGAGGCTGTCCAATTAAACGTAGAAGGGACGATAGGAGACCGAGACACTCATCAGTATTGTTTCCTGGAGACTTATGGTACGCACAGTATCGAGTTTTGTCCAGCTTATCTTCAGGGGTTCTCACAGGTTTCGGGTCAGGAATAATCCCCTTCCCCTTCAGTTCTTCATATATTGTGGCTGCACCGGCTGAATAAACGGCCTGATAGCCTTTCCTTACATTGTCTGAATATTGATCACGGGCAGCTCTGGATTCTGGAGTATTTTCATAGCCTTTTGAGTAATTCCGATATTCCACCTTCCCAAAATTCTTCTTATTCTTCTTTTTCGCGTCCGACTCAGTTTTATCATCCTTCGCCGTGAAGTCGAAGCTGGGAACCGACATTGATTCTTCAGCAATAATGAATTGTTGAGCTCGTACAATAAATTCTTGTAAAGTAGCCGACTTGTTCTGGCATAGGGTCCAACGAAACATTGAATTGGGCTTCAATCCAGCAATTGCGGTCACTAATAGGGTCTCAGGGTGAGAAGGCTCCATGTTCTGAATTCGGTCGTTAAACCGAGATATGTAATCCTTAACGATTTCGTCATCCATTTGCACGATATTAGTGATTGACTCTTTTGGGATGAGACAAATTTGGGCTTCGATGAAGTGTGATCGAAAAGCTGCACGTAACTGTTGCCACTTCCAAATTGAATGAGGTGGGAGAGTATAATACCATTTTTTTACCCGTGGCCCCAATGTGAGGGAAAACATCCGACATCTCAACGCATCCGAGGCTCCGTGCAAATCCATCCACGACGTATAATGACCCAAGTGCGCATCTGGGTCCGAAGTTCCATCATACATGCCAATTTGCGGGATTTTTACCTTGGTAGGGAGTGCCTCCGCGGTAAGTTCTGGAGCTAAAGGTGAATCAGCTTCAATAATAATATTTCCCGACGTCGAGACATGTCGGGGAGAGTCTTCCTGTGACTTCAGTCGAGTCTCGAGTTCAGCTAATCTCTTACGGAGAACCTCAATTTCCTCTGCGCTATGTCTTGACATGCGATTCCGTTCAATCTGACGTCGTAAATCTTCACGATCGCGAAGCACTGGTGAGGCAGGTCTGGGATGCGACAGAATTCTCTGACGATGAGCAGAGTGGCTTTCAGCAGTCATCTCTTGAACAGGAGGTTGCTCTGTGGCTTGATTGTTCATTACTGGATTAGCAGTTATACGAGTCAACTCCTCTCGACGTGGGGATGTATGATGTGGTTGTGACGTAGCATGTGATGTCGCTGCATGGCGTTTCAGGATTATGATGAGTAGGATTTGGGTGTTCTGTTGGGTTTGTAAGGAACAGTGTAGATAATGGTATAGTACTCGAGTTTCTGGGCATAGCTCGAGCTATAAGAGAAGTTAGACCTTGGATAAACTCCGGGTTTTGGAGAAAGTTTGTGATATTCGTGACCGGAGGAGGTGGCGTCGAATGCCTTGGGGAATGATTAGTGGATTGGCTCTGACCAGCATGAGATGTATGATCTCGACCAGATTGCGACATGGTGAATTCGAGTGTATATGTGGCTATAACAGTGACAGTTAACCTCAAAAATATTAGGCGAAGGTTCAAGCCGCCCTTCCTCTAGCGCCAAACTGTTGTTATATGGCAATTAACAACGATAATATAATGAAAAACACGTTGGGTATTCAAGAGAGAGAGATACAGAACATGATAGTTGAAAAGGAAAGTTTATTGAATATTATTGTATATTTTTTCATGTGTCCTCCCTGGAGAGTCTATTTTTCCCTTTTATATTAATTTACAACACTTATCAGTAATATAATCATTACATTAGAATAGTCAATGGCGGCTAATTGCCATTTATCTTGGTAGCGTGCCACTGGGCCAGGTGTAATGATGACTTGTGCTGAGTTGGCGCCGCCTTATGGTGTCAGTGTGGCAAGTCATAGATATCAGTTTGATTAGCCATAACCGATATGTCCTAACCGATATCTCGTACCCGACATGTCACAACCGATATGAGATGTCGGTTAGTTGATGAAGATGTCAGTTCTTGATCCATTTTCTCCCGATATGTGATTGCTTTTGGGATCCTTGAAGATGTACTCCTTTTGAATGAATATAATCTTCCACTTAATGAGCATAAAAGCCTGATAAATATTGCTAACTTGGTTTACCAAAAACCATGTCAACAGTATGATCAATGTATGCATGTGAACCATGTAGCCTTCGATATGAGCTGTACCGGCCGTCTAACAGTTATCCCTGTAGCTATACAACGGATCCCGTTGGGGTATTCTCCTCTTTGTGCCCGTAAGACCAGGGCCTGGCCTGGCTTTGGCCGGTGATATGAACCCCGTCGTAAGACCAAAACAGGGGCCTTGGCTGTCGGGGGGAGAGGAAAAGGGGTACTTCTGCTGTTTGGGCATCGTTGTAAGACAAAGACAAGGGCCTTGGCATTCGATACGTGGACCAACAGTGGCCTATTAATTAGTTGTGCACACGAGGCTATTTATGCCTTTGGATAGGAGATGAGATAGTAAATTGATTCGTATACATGCTGCGACCATACATTTTCTATATTATTTGTTATTTATGAGCATAGTGGTGAGCAAGTTGATATTTGTGCTCACCCCCATGTCCCCGCCCCCTCCCCCCTCTGCCCAGATGCAGGTTAAAAAAATGCGGGCACGACGAGGTGAAACGAGTGGCGGTCGGTCTAGATGACTAGACCATTGATTTTTTTTGCTTCCACATTATCTGAGATTTATTTATGACTTGGGATATTTTCGAACTCCGAATATTTATGACGTTTGAAACACTTTTGGGGACACGCCCTGTTTTGGCATTATAATGTCTTTACTCTGGATTTTGGAAACCCAGTTTGGGCGTTTGTTGACTTTGGATGAAACACTTGATGGGGCGTTGAATTATGCTCTGGTCTTATTGCCATTACTATATTTATGTTGATAACTTAGGTTTTAAACGAGTAATGCCACAAATGTTTTGGAATGAGATTTGAAAAATTAAATTGATTTTTCTGAAAAGCAATGGATTTTCGTTAAATTAATGTGGGGCGTTACAGATTGACTAACCTGCACGAGTTTGGGGTACAGAAGAAGGTCTTGTTGCAGTCACGTGAAAACCTAATCTCAGAAGGAACCTGCAAAACAAAGACACATGCTTTGCTAATGGGATCGCAAAAACATTTTTATGTAAATTCTTACGCACATAGAAAAAAAGAGAACAGTAAAAGACCGGCTAGCTTGGAGACCCTTGTTCTCATGCCCAATGACAATTGAGATGATGTCACTTTCCACAAGGATCTCTGTCAAAGCACGGAACTCATGAACCCGATTAAGGATAGACTCTCTACGCCATGCCTCTTCCTTTGCCACAACAATGGCAACTGCATGAGTGAAACAAAAATATACGAAAAAAAGTCGCGTACGTGTACATGAAGCCCCAAGATTGTCCTGTCATATATAGGATGACTGAATGTATAATCCAAAGCACTAATGAACATTTGAGAACATGGAAAATGAGGAAAGATTGCCCGTGGGCTGCAGCAGCAATAAACACTGGTGTAGAAGTCTAGAATACAAAGGACCGTTCGCGTAATTGGTGAGAAACTTCCATTTCTCCCTACCATTACCGATAAAAATGGAAGGCATAAATACTTTTGAACATTCAGTAGCAAATTAGACTTGTTCCAAATAAGCTATATAGGTTTCATTTTCTAACACACACACACACATAGAGAGAGAGAGAGAGAGAGAGAGAGAGGAGTTAAAAACTCATCTTTTACCTATATGCAATAAATCCACCATTACATCCTGCAGCTTTACTCAGAGTGCCTGTGCAAATGTCAATGCCATTTTTGCAGTTGAACATTTCAGCTGCCCCACCACCATTCTTCCCACAGACAAAGGTTGCGTGAGCCTACGGTATTTTCAAAAGTAAAATCTGTTCAGCTAGTATATAAAACCAAGAGAAAAATGAGGTAGTATGAAAAAGCCAGTGGAGTGGAGTGAAACTAAATTGATTAAGATGATAACAGAATGAAAATAGAATGACGAAGAGTATGAAAAAGCATTTATCACGGACCATGCATTATTACCACATCCACCGTGTTTGTATGTGTTATTTGAAGGTACAATTTTAACTACCCAATTAGCATGTGTGACTCATTTGCAAGCATCTTTTCAAGGGTACTTAAATTCTAACTTAAGAAACTTACATCGTCAATTACGAACAAGAACCCATGCTTCTTACGGAGTTTTCCAAGCTCGGTCATCGGTGAAAAATCCTCATCCATGCTAAACAGGCTGGCAAAATGAACAAAACTAATTATCCAAGTTTAACATTGTCATGAATCAAAATGGATGTGATTTCAAGGGCAAAATCATTGATGGTATACACAACGCCTCAAGTATTCATCTTTCACCAGCAAGAAAGAACAAAAAAAAAAAAAAGGAAAAGTAAAGTATCCACTAACTATATTAGTGTTGGTCAAGTTCAACTGAAGTGTTCGGTCAAAGATATCCATGGGAACCATAATCATTCACATAGTGTTGCATCAGCAGGGAACCAAGTGATAGTAATTGATATATTTTCTTAATTCTTACAAGTAAAAGAGAAATCAAAATCTGGTATGACTACTAACACTATGGCAACTAAATTGAACTCAAAACTATATGAACAACGAAAACTTAAAATTATGCATATGGTTAGAAACTTTTAGAGTTAATCGTCCAATGAAATGACTAACCTATCAGTTACAACAACTCTTTTCTTCATCTGACAAGTAGACCTGTTGTTAATCCAAAAATCAGAGGTATCCTTCATATCATGAATAGAGAAGAGCATAAATGAGGCAAAGGAATAAAAAGGGGTAAATTAGAGAATGAAAACAATGGCCTACAAAAATACATCCAGATGGGACTTATCACAGTACTTGTAAACAAATGCCACAACATTTCCTTGTCCCTCAGCAAGTCGAATGCCATCGATTATCGATGAATGGATCAGTGCATCAAGAAATATGGCAACCCTATCATCTTGCAAGGGTTTTCCCTGGACAACCAGAAAACCAACATGTTTCCAACCGCTGTCATAAAGGCCATATTGGCTTAAAAGCCTGTCGGACAAAGAAGGTAATCCTAATATTTAAGATTAGAAAAATGGAATTTGACCAGTTTTATAAATAGAGTAATGCCATAAAATCCATGCAAAAGGTCATGATGATCAAGTAGGCAGAGACGATAAGAACTGAATTTTAACTACCACTTTAATGTGAAAACAAAATTTATTTATCAATAGCATAAAGGCGTAACAGCTCTTTCTTATGTACGTAGATAAATCAAAGAAAACGCAGTTAAAGTGGATTATTTGAAAGAAAGAGGTAAATGTCTATGGTTCTTGTACATATAAAAACAATCATTTCTACGGTTTAATAGCTCCAAGTAGTGACGACAGGAACATGCACCTTATTCAGTCTCAAGAGAATATAACTGAGAAAATTCATTTCGAATAGTTTAAAATTTATAGTACACATAAAATTATTATAATTTACTGATAGAAATGGTACCTCTTTTCTTTTTAAGTGATGAATTAAGTAGCCTGTGGTAATTAGTGTAACCACAGATCAAAGCAGAACCTCTTGGACCCATTCCGTGTTCCTGAGTTGCTGGCCAAAACAAGTGAAATTAAGTAAATATCAATAGTTGTGAGCCAATAACACGCTAAGTTGTAGAAAAAAATCTGCAGAAGGTGAAACATGCCTTGCAAGCTGCATAGCTAACCATTGGATGTGAATTTAAACCCAAATAATCATTTCCAGAGAATACGATTAGCTTCCTAAGGTTCCCACCAGTTGACTCTGCTTTATGTTCAGCATCTATGTTTTGATATATGATATCATTGTCATCTTCTGCAAATTCAGAAATTACAAATAAAGCAAACAGATTAAAAACTTAACTACACCCATTACAATTCATAGTTTTCCATGAATTGGTTTCTTTCATGATGTAGGTGCTGTTGGAACTCACGAGGATCTCGATATGCACAAATCACAGACAAACATTCAACATAAACCTATGCGCAGCGGATCTAAAGGTTTGATGAAGAAAACTTACTGCTTAAAATTTATGTAGATCTGTCTGGCCCGGACAGTTGACCGCAAATCAAATCTTCTCGGAATCGAACAAACTTGACCAATCCGGAAAGCTGACGTCACGGCGAAGTCAACGGCGTTGACCGATCGGAAAACGGAGCTCTCACGCGCTCTCACGCGCGTCTGCAAGCTTCAGCGACTGGGACCTTCGGGCGGCGCATGGCGGCGCGTGAGGAGGCGGACGGCGTCGATCTCGACGGCGATCTCTTCGTCTCGTCGTCCTGGTCGTCGTGG